TTTTTTTTTTTTTTTGCAGGCCTTGGGAAGTCCAACATGATTTCCTGGTGGCGTGAAGGAAGTAAAGGATGGTAGGTGGTATAATTTCATAAGAGATCATCATGTGATAGCAGATATGGAAAAACTGTTCTTTTAACCAGAACTGTAATTATTTTCATGCAAGAAAGGTTTTCTACATCTTGCCAATGAAAGTGCTACTCTGCAGAAACACATAATGAAGGTTTTTAACTCCCTCTCTGAAGCACAAACCTGAAGAAAAAAATCCCTGCTCAGAAAAACACTATGCATCTCCTTTTACAAATTTAGTCTTACAATACTTGTTCTAGTCCAAGTCACCTTAGTAGTTCCCTGTCAAATCAGTGCATCAGCGCAAATGTCATAACCAAGTCATCATCTGTCATCATGCAAAACTTCTTAAGAGCACACCACAACAGATTTGGAGCACACAGAGGTAGAAAAAATTTGAAGTTTAAGAAGCATTGCAGCAGAAACCTCTATCAGTATGCAAAAAAACACAGTACAGCAAAGAAGAAATTTGACCAGCGGCTTCTTGTCAGTTCTGGATCAGTGTTTCTCAGCTGCTGATCCAGGGAGCAACAGTCAGCTCTGAGACATCTGAAACAGCCTGTGGAACAGCTGCAAGGAGGGCTGGCTTGTGTTTTGGGCAGGAGGGGAGAGGAGGGAATAGTTTTCTTGTTTTTATGTTTTAAATAAACAGTTCTTGCATGCAGGCAAAATCAACACAAACAAAAATAAGAGCAGCAACTGAGCAATCAAACTTCAGCCTAATTTCATTGCAACTGTAACCTTCTATGGCCTTACTGCACAGTACAATCCGCAGATTGTATTCAATGAGGTCAGATGTCTCTTTGGACTTAAAAAGGTTGAAAGACATCCTTTAGATGACAGATAGTTGGCAGATAATAACAGGGAAGATAAATGGAAGATGGGGATTTCTGAAGGACAAAGTAAGATGATGAGATAACCAGCACAGATGATTACAGAAATAAATCAAAATTCACCAGAGGGAAAAAACCAAACTTTTCTTAGACATGTTAAAATGCACAGAGGATTCAGGAAATAAAAGCCTCAACATACAAACTCTTTATTTTGACAATTATGAATCATAAACTAACAAAATATTCCAAGAACTGGGATCTCTAATACTAGATTTATAAAGCATGAATCTGCTCTTGTACCCAGTAATAAAAGCAAAGCCATAAAGAGCATTAGGTAGTCACAAATTCGACCCCTTAAGCATACTAAAAGCTCTAGCATTTGAGTGGGCTTAATCACATCCTTCTAATACTACTAAATCGGAACCGCCTCACCACTATTGCAACTATTTAACAGGCGATTTAGGGAGCCCAGAAACAGTTGCACCGTTCCCCTACTTACTTGAATCCTCCCATCTGAGAAGGTGCAACTTCCAAGCAGAATAGTACAGAAATCCCAGAACCAGAAAGAGGCAGAGGGCTAGCAGCAGGTTACGCATAAACACCAAGAGTCCCATCTTCACATTAAATCTGCTCTTCTACACGACCTGAGAAAGAAAAACAGGTTGAGGCTGGAGCCACCTTCTCCAACGGGCATCCTCTCCAAAACGTGCAATCCCATACCCACCATAACGCACAGATCCCAAACCGTGCTCCTCCGCCAGATAGAACACACGCGTTCCCCAAAGCGTAGCAGCGGAACAAGAACCACGCCGGGCAGCCGCCGGTTCTG